ATTCCTGTAAGTATATGTGCATGAGTGAGGGTAAGAAATCATGTTGAGAATGCATAATTTCAATGAGTGTTTCAGGTCTTACTGCATATTATTTTTAGAACTCGTTTTTAACAGCTCACACTGACACCTCATCATCTATACAAGGGGAAATAGATGCTGGAAGGAGAGGTGCTCAAAGTATTCTGTATTCCCCTTAAACAGTGTAAAGCTAAATGGGGGTTCACAGCCCCCATTTACTTATATCCGATGTCTAATGTCCTATAGTCTTCATATACTACTAGTCTGTCTATCCACTAGCCTGTTTTTCATGAGACTAAGTACTGACCGGCATCTAGCTGGGGCAGGATGTAGGGCTTAATGCTATTTGGATATTGAAGTGAACACCATGAATGTGCAGATATGGTTGAATACCTTCAGTTGCTTAGCTTGGGTACTGGTAAGTAGTATGGCTGTGATGATGCAGCATTTCTCCAAAGAGAAGTAGCCTACCTGAAAAACTAGTTCTACCAGTCTCAAAGGAAAATGAAGTTAAATATATTGTTTTGCACCCTGTAGCAAGCTGGCTTTGACTTCCTACCTCATACCAGAGTTTAAGAACTAGTGAGACAGAGTAGGTAGAAACAAGGAGCAAAGTAACCTCACTTACGAGGTCTCACGTTAGTTGCTGGATGTCCATCAAGTTTGCCAAGGGAAACTGTATTCACTTCATGCTCTTAAATTAATGGGTCCATGGAGAAGACAGTGCTGTACTGTCCTGCCCAGTTTGTCCTTTCAGATATGAAGTTCAAAATAGTTTGGTTCACTTTCTCTCAGATAGTCAACCAGACAAATTACAGTGGCTATTACACAGAAATAGAAGTGATTTTTTTTTTTTTAATTGCATCTTGCATTGTTCAGAGGCCTTGTATAACTTTTAATTATTTCCAAAACCTTTTTGGGGAGCTACTGTCAAAAATAGCTTGACCATATTAAATCAGTTTGAGATGGCAGTGGAACAACAATATTGTCAATTTTTCTACTCTTGATGATTGTGAGGTTTCTGCATCCTTCTGCGGTGCACCTCTTGGCTACTGTAAATTGGTAGCAGAACTCTATAACTTCCTGATTTGACTTTTGTAATATTCCTGATGAAAATTATTCTGACTCCCACTTTCAAAGCAAGGTTAAAGATCAACTTCAGAGCTTCAAGCAGTAGGTGTGAGTCAAGAAATTATGTGTAAAGGGAAGTAAGAAGCTTCAAGGACTGACTTGCTACAAGGAATACCTGTAGCTGTGCAATCTGATTTAGTTGTGCAGTTCTTGTTTCATATCTTATTTCATATGCCTAGATGACCCTTTACATGTAGCTCACATGGAAGGGCCTGACAGTGTATCTATTGTGAGTTATATCAAGGCTGAACTATAAGAAAATCACTACTCTATCTGTGTGGAGAAACTGAGGGCTAATATATATGAGTTAGAAGAGTCATCTTGCTGTGGCATATCTTCCAACGTAATTTGGCCATAGACATTTTAATCAATTTTTTTTCACCTATAAGCACAGCTGAGAAAGTAATATTCTGATATAATCTGACATCTTATATTTCCCTGTGCCTGTAAAAAGCTTAACTTAAAACTTGCAAGTGATAATACAGTGTACTGAGGCATGGAGTTTTGGTGCAGATATAGAAGCTTGCATCTGCTGATCGGTTTGTTGAATACACCAAAAATTCAATAAAGCACAGCATAGAGAAATTTCTTGTAATCACTCAATCACTTAAGCAAATAATTTGTACGGACAGCTTACCAATTTTTATCACCTGGTAAATGTCTTTCTGCAGATTTGGTGTTGGTCTTGCCATAACGGTGCTGCTCTTCTCAAAATGTCTGCATTTCCCAAAGAACAGGATGACAGCACTTCACAAATGCAAAAAGCCTTCTTGGATGGGTCAGTAATAGCTATTCTGTCCACAACACTTTGCTTGGTATGGACCTTGCTTCTCTTTTTCCATATATGCTATATCTTTAATCTTGCACGCATCAGGAAACAAGTTCTAGATCTAAAAGTAGTTTTCTGTAGTGAAATAGGTTTAAGCCCTTGGCCTAACAGCATCGGTCAATTGAGCAGGGCTGTAACATCACTGAAGGCTTATTTGCAGAAATACATTATATATATCAGATGAATCTCCGTGCAAACTGTGGCTTGTTACTAGGTAAAGCAGCACCAAGGCCTGTAGGTCTTAAGTACAGTTAAAGTATTGTTAGCTGATGAGCTTAACTGTGTTTACAAGTGAAGTCTAGACTCCATCTCTAAACATGAATTTGCAAGCCGAGTTTTAAATCTCTCTGAACTCTATTGTCTTCTTGGGACTAGATTTGTATTCTTAAATAACGTTAGATAAAGTGACCTAAAATGACTGAGACAATACAGCAGTTCACTACTGCTGCTTCCAGATGCGATGGCAGACAGCCCTTTGCTTCGGCTGAGTTAGTAAGCGGAATTAGCTCAGCAGTCTGAAAAATGCCGAAGTTAACATAAGGGAAGAGCACAGCTGCCTGGCTGAGAGTTATAGCAATGACTTGTTGCTCTTTTTTTCTGGCTTTTCTTTAACCTGTTGGGTGTGCTGGAGGGAACTTCTCTTAGCAGCCAGCTATTAGATCAGGCTAGTATGTATTTGTACTGCTTCACTGCTAACTCCTTTCTCCTTATAGATGGAGAACCTGTTAATCACACAGAACTAACAGAAAATAGCTTGATAAGGCTCTTAAAACCTCTTTTGTTTTTAAAATTAATTATACTTGCATGGGAAAGGCTTTTGACCCTTCCTGCAGATCCTCTAATGTTTCTCCCCTGAAATGGAGAAGTTGAAATGACTTATAGCTCTTTGTAATGCTGTTTCATAGTGTGAAAGTAAGTAAACGTAGCAGTAAGCTGTAACAAGGTATCAACCGGTATTTTGATCTCTTGTGGCCATCTGACTTGGGGCAGTGTTGGTTGTTTTCTTTGCTATGGTTATTACTGGTGGTTAACCACTAATATTTAAAAATATATCTGCAAATTGTCCATAAGGGTGTGTTAACATGCCATTGTAGTCTGAACTCAAGCATGCAGCACATGTTTACAATTAACAGCCTCTTTTATTGAAAAAGTTGTTTAGAGCCAGATCTTCTAGCACAAATTGTTTACTTCAATTTGGAAGAAGTATTGTAATTGACAAATGATCGCTTTCCCTCAATTCTCTTATCTGATGCATCTTCTGGTAGGTCTAGTAACCTGCATTTCTGATGTGGACTCCTGTAGTTGTCAGTTAAAGCAGGCTTCTGTGCTACAACATGCAGGGGGGAAAAAAAGTACTCTGTTGTGTCTGGGCAAGTGCCCACAAGGCTTAACTTCTGAAGTATGAGCTAGAGCAGGTTTTCCCAAATCTTGACAATAAAAAGCCAGCATGACAACAGAGGTATTTACTAAGCTGATGTTCATCTGAGCTCTGGAGTCTGAATGAGAGGGGACGTTCCAGGTCCAAACCAAAGCTTCAGCTGGCCTGGTATTTTTTCCTCTCCTCCTAGGGAAAAAATTAGCAGATATGTAGGGAAGTACAAGGCAGGTATACTGTCTTTTTTGAGTCCAAATCGTTTCTTCTTTCTTTTACTCATGTGTTTCATTAGCAGACCTGGCAGCTAGGTATCAGAATGTCATTTGGTTGGTAAAAATCAAGAAAAATTCTAAGTGTCTGCTGGAAGGTTTGAATGTTTCTGTCCCTTTCCTCTTCCTGGATTCACCTCTAAATAGCCTGCTAGTAAAGTAATTTTGGTGTGTCTGGTGAAGACAATACTAAAGAAGCAGTAGTAAAAATCAAGTAATGCATATTTTTGCAGTTATGAGTATTATAAGCATGAATATCATTTTATTGGTGTAACAGTTAAGAGCAGCAAAACTTGTCATAAGCTTGTAGGCAAGCTTCCAGACAGTATTTAAAAAGGCGTGGAGGTCATTAGCTTTCTGGGGTGTATATCTTTCCATCTTACAGCTGTTTCCCAAACAGTGCCTATTAACTTTGTCTTCAGTGATAATGGTTGGTGCATTATTTGACTTGTGAATCAGAAGGCTTTAATCTCTTGATTTGCTTTAGAATCTATAAGACAATTAGCAAACCTCCCTATGAACTCCTGAAGACGGATGACTTGTCAAGCAGCCTTCCATCACTGCAAGATATCCAGACTGCATACACAAGATTCAAACAGCTGTTTTTGATAGGTAAGTCAAACTTTAGTCTTTTGTCTCTAAAGTGACTGAGATACAAAGCATAGCAATGCTGTTTTATGTCTCATGAGTGCAAGCCTTGTCTTGATTGGTGTCTTGCTTTTGACAGTGATTAAAAGCAGATTTTTAAATATTTAACTGAAGACTGTGCTTATGACTGACATGTTAATGGAGATTTGTAGTTCTTAAACTTACTACCTCTTGCTAAGCAGTCACCATATCTGAAAATTACTTTTAAAGAGAGTGACTATGGAGTTTAAATGTTAGTTGGATTCAGATTTATGGGAGAGATTTTTCAGTCATCTTCTGTGGTCCATAGAAGTTGAATGTTAACTGTTAACCTTTTAAGCCTTTGTGCTATGTCAAGAGTTTAGTCTAAATGCTAATCAATTTTTGCCCTAGCTTTTGTTACAAACTAGTCACATCTCAAAACTTATGAAGCGTGAGCATGCTTAAAATTCTGTCATTCTGGCTGTAGGGCTAAACATGACTACTGTAAATATTAAGTCCACTTGAAAGGAGTAAAAAAGGGAGCCATGTGAAAGTATAATCCAGGCTTTCAGAATTTTTCTGGGACTCTTAACTATTTTGCGGTCATGAAACAGTACTTTGACCTTACTGCTTGGCATGAAAAAAGCTCCTCACCACCTTGCAGCTGTGCAGTGTGCCATTGGGCCATTTTGGACAGTGGGTCTTCTACAAGATGATGAGGGTAGATGTTGCAATAACCTCTGTCTGATGGCATGCTGAACACTGGGGCAGTTCATGTTGATGTTAGACATAACTGAACTGATCCTCACTGAGGAACTGTATATTTGCAGTGTAGCCTACAGACAGTATCCAAGTCCTGTTTGTTTTACAAATAGAATTTAGCTGTTAAGTTGATGTTGATTGCAAATTAGTATGAATGGTTTCTGGTAAGTATGTAGTAAAGATTTCAGTGATGCTCTGAAGAGTCTAAGAGATACTTGGCAGAGTTTCACATTGAGGATTTTCTCCAGAATACACTGTCAAATCCACAGTGAATGTTAGGACGTAAAAACAATTACCTATATTTTTATGTAGTTTCTGGTAACTTACCCTCCTATAGTAAAAAGGCCAGAGCTTGAATTTAAGTCATTTAACATCTCTCAGGAAATATTGCATATTTCAGTGGTGTAATTGTATCATTGCCTTCTATTACTTGAAGCAAAAGGGAATATGTTAAAACTGCATTCCAGTAAATATTTTTGTCTTACAGCTTTTTAAATAAGCTTTTAGACTATAGCTCACTGAATATAGCACTATGCACTGGCAGTCTGAGAAAACCATTCAGGTAACTTCTTGCAGAAGTATTAAGATCTTACAGGAAATGACTTCCTTACTACTATTTTTCAAAGCCTGAACACACTAACCATTCTTTTTGTTCTACATGTGCCTAGTTAATTTGATTTAGGTAACTTCCAGTGTAACTTAAATTTCCTGAACACATGCCCAAACTGAAGTTTCAGTTATAAAAATCCTCATTAAACAAAGCAGAAACCACAATAGTAGGCAGCTGCTTGAAAGAGGATTTTGATGGGGAAAACTTGTATCCTCTTAAATTGTTACTCTTATTTGAAATGTTGCAAAGGCAGATGCTGGTTTTGCTAGACTGCTCACAAGTCTCATTGTATGCCATTTCCCCACATACCTTAGATGAGGCTTTGAACACTTCAGTCCTCAAATCCTAGTGGAGTATTTCTTCATTGTCCTAGAAGTTAGGGAGAAAGGGAAAGCTTGCTCTCTATTGTGATGTTATTAAGCAAAATACCTTGATTAAGGGGTAAAACAAGCTGCAAGTGTTTTGTTGTGCCTTTAAAAAGAAGTTCCTGTTTTGACTTGGAGATTGCTTTGGCTGGGGGAGAGCTGCCAGACCAAGCAATTGTGTGTAGAGGCCTGCGTACAGGTGGTTGAGTCTAATTGTGGTAGAGCACGACTGAACAAAACAAACAGCTAGCCACACTTAATGTGGCTACTCAACTTTTTGGAGTAAAACTCTTCTGTACTGTCCATAATGTAAGAGAACTAAGAAAACTTCAGTATGGAATATAAATGTTATCACTTTAGATGAAAGGCTGTTATTTCTATAGGAAAAAAGACAGAAATCCCTTTTCCTTGGTATCATGGGTTTTGGGTGGTTTTGAAGGACTAGAAATTGGTACTATAATTTTGCCTTGATTAAGAATGGACAGAGGTTTTTCAAATAGTGATGACAGGCTAAACGGAACATGAGATTTGGGTGCAAAGGAATATTCTAAAGCTCGGATGGAAAAAGGGTGAACTGGGGAGTAAAGGGTGTCTTACTTGAACTACTGTATTGTATGTACTTTAAAGGGTATCATACTTAAAGGTTGAAGTGAATTTGAAGATGTTAATCAGAAAAGATTCGAGAAAACTACATCTAGTGTGAACAGAACTGATTAGGGAGCTTTGAAGATGCATTCTAATGCTTATTTTGTGGAGAACTAGTTTCTAGGTTTTTTTTTTTTATTAAATGTGTAATGAACAGAATGAGGGGCACAAGCAGGCATGGAGGCAGAACAGCTACAGGAATGAAATAAATAGATGCCTGTGCACTTGAGGATCACAGATGCAAGCTGCCGAAAACAAGACAGAAGTGACTATGTGTTGAAAGTAAACATTGGAAGCATATCGAGAGACTTTGGGAGGTGAAAAGAAGTTATACGAACATGCAGAACTGAAGCTATCAGCAGGGAGATTAGGGAAGGAGGGAAGTGTGGTGTATCTCAGTTGTTTCTCAATAATAGAACTGTCGTAGACTTTGGGCTTCAAGGTTTGTGTCTTATGCATGAACAGTAATCTATTCTGGTTTTAATTGACCATATGAGCTTGCGAGAGCTTTCCAGTTTCTGAATACTGGCTTTGATAGAAATGAAAGCAATAGAGATTTGGGTTGCATTTAACCAGCCACAAAAATTCTAGTGAAATTCATGAGTTTAATGACTTTGTAGTATTGTACTTGGTCTTCTGGTTTATCTTAGCTATTGCCTTTTTGATGTATTTTAATGCCTCTTCAGTTGCAGTGAAAATTGTTTAAAATCTTTTTCAGGTAGTCTTACATGCCATAAATTTGTGTAACCCCCTTCTAAAACTCATTCATGTTTCTGGCTCTAATGGTAATGACTTTCAAAATCCAGCCTCCTTATGTTAAGCTTCATATGGATCACGCTTTAGAGTCAAAGCAACTGGAACTTGAAAGAACCATCTCCTCTGATTAAACTTCTCTTCCTTTCTCATTTTGTCAACAGATTTATTTACTTGGCTTGGTTGCTATGAACCTACAACATACTTATTTCTAAAAGCCTATGGTGCTGTAAAACTTTACTGGTTTGTAGGACTACTTCACTTCCTCATTTAGTTATAGCCTGTTGGCTTTAACAGTGATTAGGATTTACTGACTCCTTATCATTCATTGTTTTATAACAGTTCATAACCGAAGAGTAATACAATGGATGGCTGTTAATTAGCGCTACATCTATGTGAATGAACCAATTTTTGGTTTTGTTTTTTTGCAGATAACAGTACAGACTTCTGGGCAACTGATGTGAAATGGTTTTCATTACTGGAGAGCACTAACTGGCTGGAGATAATCAGGTTTGCTATATCTGTAACTTTCTGGGTTTCAAATTGTTGTTAAACGCATTTGTAGTGGGTTTTCAAGCTAGTTTCTTGAAATATGACAACATTCGTCACCTCCAGTAGGATAGAAAATTAAGACAGACTTATGGTCCCATTTATATATCTTATTTCTACAACTTGAGACAGTATTTTTACAGTGCAGGCCTGTGTTAAGCCTCCCACATTAAAGGATGTGAGAAGCAGCAGATCATTCCAATTACAGCTCTTCCAGCAAACCTATTAAAACTGTAGATCCAGTAATTTCCCTCCTGCACTTAGTCACCTTCTTTCCACACTGAACAATCCTATTTGTTTCTTGCATGAAACCTATTCCGTGTCTCTGACTAGCCTTGCCATTCTTCTCTGTACTCTCTACTTCTGTAATATCCTTTAGGACGGGATGAACTGCAGTATTCAAGATGTTAGCCCACCAAAGATTTATAAAATGACAGTTGTTCTCAGTTTTGTCCCCTTCCTCTCCTGATTGTTCCTCAAGTTCTTTTTTCTTCTCTCAGCAGTCCACAGTAAGTGTTGGAATGGTGTTGGCTAACTTAAGGCTTGTTACAGTGGAATGTTGAGGGTTTTTATTTGTTTTCAGTGTTACTTTGTGCTAGCTCTATTGTCTGCCAGTTTACTCTGTGATCAGCTTGTTACCATGAAGTGCTTCTGCAGTCTTCTGCAGTCAGCTTCAGTTCTTTGTAGTCTTAGTAACAATCAATAAATATTGATAGTTATTCATTCCTTAATCCAGAATTTAAATGTATGTTGAATGAGGGGTTCTAGTGAAGATCATATGTTGAGAAATGCATTGACATAACCAAGATTACAAGTAGTTTAAAGTAAATGCCAGCCCAAGTTCCCATCCTTACATTGTTTTGAGACTGGTCATTTTCATACTTGGATCCAGTTGCTTCCTGGATCAGCCTGTTCTTGGCTCTTGCTGTTAGTCGAAATGCCTTCTCAGCTATTCTAGATGCTAGAACAAAAAATCTGACAACTCCACACTTACAAAATAAACTGTCAGCTTCTATTGGTGACCTAAACATTTGCAAGAATCCTAATTTGGGTGCAAACTTTTGCTGAAAATCACCAACTTTATGAAGAGTTAGGTTTAGAAACCAGCAGTGTTACATCTTGTTTTCAGTGATCTTTAATTCCACTCAAACTTCCCTGTGTAATGATAATCTCTGAATAAATTTTGTCTGCATGTTTACAAGATCCAATTGCTGATCCTTCCCTCTGCCTCTTAAAACCAGATTATGGGAGAAATGTAGTATGTAGCAGGTTAGAACATAAGTGTGGTGATGTTGACTTTTCCAGGACAAAGATCTGGCTCTTAGCAGTTGTAATACTTTAGTGTGTGTGTGATGGCTGCTGTTGATCCAGAATAAAGTATTGTATTACAAATGTACAAAGATAACGGCTGGAAATGCATGACTAATGGCCAAATAAAGATACCTCTTGAAAGTTTACTCTTGAGGCTAAACAGTTCTTCATTTACGTAAGTTGAGCATGGTTTTTGTTGTTTTGGAGGACTAGTCAAGTCTCAGTAGTATGACAATCTAACCCCTTTTAGGGGAAACTAATGTAAGAAACTTAAGTGAACATTTTCATAGTGTTTTTACAATTATCTTTTCCTGTACCACAACAGGCGAGTCTTGAAGAAAGCAATAGAAGTTGCTGAGTGTCTGGAAAGACAGCATACAAATGTTCTCCTTATAGGTAAGAATTTAATGAGCTTATCCTATATATTTTTTAAAATTTCTTTTTAATTTCTTTAGATGTAGCTTAGGCTGTAAGTTTATAATTATGGTAGAGGCTGGTAAAATTCATAGAGTACTCAAACTACCAGAGACCTAAATCTTTCACACTCCTGGAGATGCTTCCTGTAGTTAAAAAAACATGGTAAGCATAGTTCCAGGCTGAGAGAAATATGTTGTGAATGAGAAAGCTGCTGATAAATTGGCAGGAGAGTCATGCTACCTCTTGTTTATGCATTCTTCTTTCCTAACTTATTTTATGAAAGGTCTCCTAGACCTTTTGCTTTACTTTGAGGTGGTGGGGAGACAGACCTTCACAAGGAACAAGGAGCATGAAAACTTTCTAAAAGGATGTTTTTGTTCTAGATACACAGTGAATACGGTGTCATCTCTTTATTAAAAATACAGGAAAGAATATGCTTATTGTACACATCTTAGGCAGTTTGTTTTCCTAGATTGAGTAAAGCAATCACATGGAAAACCAAACTCAATGTTAACCATTAAGCTATTTTTTGATTAGTAATTTAGTTGGGTTTTTTCCACATACTGCCATTTGAGACACCTAGCAATGGGAAGAGATGTTTCTAGAAGGCACCTGGAGAGTGAAGAATGCATGTTGTGTGATGAAGCAATTTCACACCTTGTGAAAAGATGCACGCAGGATAGGAAGGGTAAGGGGGCAGATAGCTGGCCTGGTGGTATAGGGCAGGAGGGGCAGTATGTGCATTGTGGGAGACTGAAGAGCGTAAGCATCAAAGTTATAGTAGTAAAAGCTTGGTTTTTGCAGGTTTTATTGTCAAAGTATTATCCCAGTATATGTACAAGAAACCTTATGTTTTTACAAAGGGAAGTATTGGATTAACTTCTCTGATGCTATAACACTTTCAAGAAATTGTGTGCTTCTCTGATCTTCAAATACAATTTTGTGTATGTGGAGCTAGCAATACTTTGCTTTCTTACCCAAAGTTTTAGGAATGGCTTAATAGACAATGTGGTTTCTGTTCTCTTTTGTAGAAGAGAGTGCTACTGATCTGTGCTGTGTAATCTCTAGTCTCGTTCAAGTGATGATGGATTCATACAGCAGAACAAAGTCAGGGTTTCAAAGCCTTATTCAGAAGGAGTGGGTTATTGGAGGACATGGCTTTTTGGATCGTTGTAACCACTTACATAAAAGTGACAAAGAGGAGGTATGATCTTTTTTTATTAATTTCCTTACTATTAAAAGTAGGGTAGCTCAGATGATACTTCTTCAGAGTTCAGCCAAAGTTATATGCAGCAGTTCTGTAGCAAACCAGATTGCTTTCCTTAAGATTTGTATTTTGAGGCACTAAATATTATAAAATAAATAGTCTGCATGGCGGAACATATTTTTTTCTGAAACTGATGCAATATTTTCTTTACTTAGGCTCCCGTTTTTCTGCTCCTGCTAAATTGTGTTTGGCAGTTGGTACAACAGTATCCTCCAGCGTTTGAGTTCACAGAAACTTACTTAACTGTCTTGTCAGACAGCCTCTATGTGCCTATTTTTAGCACTTTCTTCTTCAACTCGCAACATCAAAAAGACACTAATACGGTAAGGATTTGTTATTTTGTGGATGTAATGTGTTGCAGAACAGATTTGACCAACAAGCAAGGAACACTCAAAAGTAATTCCCTAGCAGCACGTTTTTCCATACTTATTTGAAGGGTTCTGCCTTGAAAGGTGAATGAGTGCAACTTTGGATGTAAGGAGTCAAGTTCGGGGCTTAGGAGTTTATGATGACAAAAGGAAAATAACTCAGGAATATATTACTCCTAATGTGTGGCTATAGGTTCATGTTTATTGCTCTTCAATGAAAATTGAGCTCCTTAACCTAGGAGGAATACCCTGCTGTCCTGCAGAGTAAGTTATCTACAAAATTCGTGTATAGTATATTCTGTTGTATTCCAAAATCAACATTTCCTGAATGTTGATCTACATTTGGTTCATGCTTTTCTCTATCCTAAGAAGATGAAAGCAATGGGAGTATCGTCTGCAAGGCTGCACAGAGACTAAAAAAAAGAAGTGAAGATCACTGTCTTGCATATAAATAAAGCATTGATCATAAAATTTAAACTGGTAGTACTGCATGACTGGAGTTAACTTTTGAAGTTTGGAGAGGTTTATTCCACAATCCTAACATGCCACCTGTGTTTGAAGAATTCAAGTGTCTATCTCCTGCCCAATTTTCAAAGCTTTATTTTTTTTCCCTAGATTATTTAACCTTATTTTCAACTGTGAAATGCAGTCTTGGTGCTGTTGAAATGAGATGCTGTCTGAAGTTACAGAGAATAATATATAGATAGCCTTTGTGTCTGTACTCACTTGCATCTGATAACGTTCAGACATTGAAGACATAGAAATCATGAGTGTTGTTGCAACTCTGTGGCCTCTTCTGTGAAAAGCCAGTTTCTTAATTTCACCTTGACGTGGTCAGAACTCCTTTCTAGCAGTATTAATTGTGACTTGTTTGTTTTGGCAGAGTGGTGAAAGCCTCAAGACACAAAGCGGCCCTTTCAAATTTCTTACTGTGTGGGATTGGTCTGTGCAGTTTGACCCCAAGGCCCAGGCTTTCCTGAACAACCCGCTTTATGCAGAGAAGCCAAAACCAGATAAAAGTCAACGGAAAACTGCACGATTCAAAGTAAGACATGTGCTGTTTAACTATTTTTAAATGATAAAAATATTGTGCACAATTCATACTTCAAATGTACTCACAGTGGAAGTATTGGTGCAAAGTTTTTTAATTGACAAAATGCATGTGCACCTCACACTCGCCTGGATCTTAAGAATACAGTTTGCACCCACTTCAGTTATAAATCACTGTTTTACAGTTACTGTACATAGCTGTGAACTTAGGTGGTTTTTTCTTCATACTGTGCAAGTGTAGTGATAACTCATGAGACTTAACATCCAGGTGAGTTGCACTGACATGTTTGAAGTGAGTTTTATTTTGGTGTTTCATGGAGTACCTAACACAAATACACAGCAGGTTTATAATTGCCTCCCTAATTTTGTCTGAGTGTACTTGGAGTGTGTGCGTGCACTTGGAGGGGGAAGGAGACCACCAACAAAAAAAAACTGTCTAGGGTATGGTGGATTATGGGTGAACCACCTCATTACTGGAAAGTAGCACAAATTCAGTAAGAAAAGTTTGTTTGCGGTAGCCTATTTTGATTGTAATATCTCTGTTGATTAAATTCTGTTCTGTACAAAGCATTCTCAAGTGAGACACTGTCAGTATGATCTACAGCATTAATCGGAGAACTCTTACGTAGTGGGATGCAATGAGGAACCGCTGGATAAAAACTTCTAAGTCAAGTGCTCTTTGATTTGTGTGGCTAGCTTAAACTAAACGTGGAAATCTGTAATACATGAATGTATGCAGAGAATTCTTCTTTTCAAAGGAAAATGCTTTATTCAGTGTTACTTCATTGCTGTAGTTACAGTGCAGGGAAGGTATCTGGGAATACTAAGTATGCTGTGTGAAGTATTTGCTGTATTAGCCATTGAAGAGTAACGGTTTTAGACTACATAGCAAATCGGTGGCTGTGTTTAAGTGACTTTACTTGTAAGTATTTCTGAATACAAGTTACGTTTTTCTTCCTCTTAAGATGTTTTCTGAAGTCCTATTGATATTTATCTCAGTATTTTTCTTTTCTTCCCTCTTAAAGCATCAACGGCAACTTTCTTTGCCATTGACGCAAACAAAATCTTCCACGAAGAGAGGATTTTTCAGGGAGGAAACAGATCATTTAATTAAAAACATTCTGGGTAAAAGAATTGGCAAGTTCATAAATTCTTCAGATGAACCTCCTAATAGCTTCAGGGAATTTTACGATAGCTGGCGTAGTAAACCTGTTGACTATCACGGTCTTCTGTTACCTCGCATCGATGGTCCTGAAATCAAAGTTTGGGCACAACGGTATTTACGATGGATTCCTGAAGCCCAGCTTCATGGTGGTGGTACAATAGCCACAGCTGCCAAGATTTTGGACTTGATGGAGGAAGTGCAAAGCTTGCAGGTGAAAATGGATGAAGAACATAGTCAAGCTGTTTCTGGAGATGTACATTCTGCCGCACTGCTGAGAAATTCTGCCCGTTTGTCATCCTTGTTTCCATTTGCTTTACTTCAGAGACAGTCTATCAAACCAGCTTTGCCAACTAGCACCTGGAAGGACTTGGAAGATGAAGATGACTTGGTCAAAAGGGATGACGAATTTGTTGATCTAAGTGATGATATGTCATAAAGTGTATATGAATTAAAGTATGAATTGTATGTGGCTAAGCTCCGAGTTTTAAATGTTGTGCTGTATCCTCATATAAGGAACTCATTCAAGCATCTTCAGCCTGTTTAATGGGTTTGTGGCGTTAAAAAAACAAACTTGGTTGGAAAGAACTAGTTGCCATGATTAACTGAGCACATTTTGAACTTCCATTTCACTCGAACAGTATTTATTGCAGAAACACATTTTTAGCATAGGTGTAGTAAGAACAGAAGTCTAGGCTGGAGTGGCCATATGGCCACTTCGTTTAGAAAAAGAAAAACAAACAATGAAAGACCATTATTTTCTGTTGTAAATGTGGAATACTAAATATATACAGCAACAATCACTATCTTAACATAAAACCTTTTCCCCTTATGCTAAGAATACTAGGATTGGAAGTACTATGACTAGGGACTTAACACATCTGCATTTCCCACCCCCCCCATGTAAAATAAACGGGGAAATGTGCAACTAAATGTGCACTCACAAATAAGCTTTTTACAGCTGAGGAATAAACTTGTGGTCACCAGGGGATTTTTGTCTGCTGTGGCATCAACTGACGTCATGTGCTTCTCAACCTCATCTTTGTTCATCTTTGGCTTGCAGCACTTCACCTTGTGTGGTATTACAGTAGCAGCTTGGCTGCTCTAAGCCTGTGCATGCACTTAGCTTAAGGATCAGATGCAAGAGGTTAACTACACATTTCAAGTCTTATTGTGTGGCTGCTACGCTATACGCCTTTGCTGCCTTGGAATATTAAGTCCCAAATGTTTGCTGTTAATTGTAAGAAATTGCCTGACTGTGAGATTCTAATTTGCCATGAGTGTTTTCTTCTCCTTTTAATAGAGTGAGACTTTAATTTTGACTTTTCCCCATTTATGCCAGTTGCCTTTGAGGCTTTCTGTAGCTTGCACTGAGACCCTCCACATAGAAGGGAAGACTCTTTTTTCTGTAATCCTGCAGTGAAGCTGGATTTGCAGTCTGTTGCCACTTGTCATGAGTTGGTGGTACAGCTTATGAATGTGGCGTTCATACCATATGAACACTCGTATCCTGTTGCTGGATGTCATAACAGTACCTCAGTGAAAAAAGCCATAAAGAAATGCCTGTTGACTTTGATCTACTGTGTGTATGTTTATATATAAAGTATTTTTACTGCAAATAATCATCCTTTGTAAAGTTGAATATTATTCGACTGTCGAATCTATTTTGAACCCTCAAATTCTAGAATACCGCAAGAATAGATGCAAATCATAAAATCAGTTATGCTGAGAGGGTAGACATTCAGTATTTTTTCTGTTCTCTTACCAATTTAGAAATCCATGCTGGAAATCTTAGGTGGTGGAGGAACTGTTGCTTAAGTTGTATCAGCTCAGTGGAATTGGGGATATTAAACTGCATTACTGATCAGTCACTTTACACTGAGTTGTATAATATGTATAGCAAAAATTTATCAGCAGCCCTCTAAAAATATATTTATTTTAACGTATTAAAACTTAGTAGTGGGGAAAGGGGAGAGCTTAATGCAGCTATGCCAAACTGAAGCTTCCCAACTCTTGATTGCCTTAAGTCTTAGTAGTGCGAGGACAACACTTGAGTTTGTAGCATTTTATTTAAAATGAATACACTAGTACTTACACTTCCTTCTGTGATACATACGACCTTGCAGCTAGCACTTGCTAGAATGGGCTGTCCAGCACATGCCCTTCAGACTTTATTATAGTAGCTCAAGTGACTCATGTATGCAATTATACTTCGCATGTTGAATGAGCAGTGCATTTTTATGGTGAAGAAATACCTATCATTCTAAGGTCATCTGGGTTCAAGGGTTGGTTTTTTTGAACACTGCCTTTAGAAAAAAATATTAAATGGATTTTTCTGTACCTTTGATCAAACTGATGTAATGTTTCAGTCGTGCAGATTACATATTTATATTAAAGAACAGATGTTGGACATCTTGTTTGTACATAAGTTACCAGAAGTTTATATAGAAGAGAAATATATGTGGAATTGAACATGGGAGCACTTCTAATGTAGAGTAAATACCATTGTTACTGGTTTTCTGCACTGTGGGATTAGAAATGTACTTAATATTTTTACTGCAGGCTTCTGTTTATACCTCCAAGTTTTTACACTGAATGCAAGCTAGAAGCTTTACAGTTTTGGTTTTTTTAATACTGTCATTTCTTTCTAGCGGGCTGTTTGGAGACTGTCAATAAAATATACTTTGGCGTATCCGTCCTGAAATGAGAATCTATGTTTAAAGTCATATTTTGCAAATGATACTTTAAATGGTAGGAAACTTGACAATCTACAGTCACGAGGCCTTTCTAGTTATGTGCTGGGTTTTTACAGACTGTTCTGGGGAGGAAGCTGCACAGTTTTGACCTGGTTATACTTACTGGAGAGGTGCTGTCAGCTCAGGAAAGAGGAGAGGTCAGTGCAGTGTAGTGGGATGACTGTGGGAAGTTAACTAAGGTGGTCTAGAAAGTGTCTGCTGAATGTCAGTATTTGGGGGTTTATTAAACACTTTATTTCGGTCTTAGCAATGTACTTGTCTTCTCCCATTTCAACGGGGATCGTGGTTCTTACAGTGTTAAACTAAGCAACTTCTTGAAATTGCTACAGCAGGGTATTGCTCAAACCAAGTGTGTATTGAGCATGGACTGGGAGATGGTGACAGTGAGCCGTAGAGTACAAATTTAACTGTTTTTTTCCAGAGATTACAAATTACTAGCTTCTGTAAAAAACAGCAGTAGCACAAATCACACATTCAAAAATCATGCCACTTTGGGCATTTCCTAAAGAGAATGTTACAAGACGGCGACAGACTTGTTCTTGAGGTCTCGTAGAGTAATAGCTTATGCAGCGGCTGTGAAGTGCCAGGCCACGTTGCAACACAAGGTGTGCCTCTGCCTCACCCACATCTTCTAAAGATCAGCGCGTGTACTTTGACCGCTTGGCTTTGATTTAAGACTGCGTTCACTAGTGAAAACGCTTGGCTATTGATGTACACCATATTGGAATGCTCCCGTTAAAGCTTTTTCCGTTCACGCTCAAAGCATGGAAGCATAACTTCTTCAGGAGGGAGTAGAATACTTTCTGCTGTAGATGTCTTACGATGGATTAGTTTTGTCACACCAGAGGTTACCTTCATTCTAATCTTTAGCTGGAAACCTCATATCCAGTGTTTACTGCCTGGTACTCTTAAAAAGAGCTAGGTTTTGTGTAAAGCTCCATTTAGAAATTATGTGGGATGGACTTCATTTTTCTGGGACGGGGAGGAGACAGATTACTCTTTTGAGTCTAAAAAGAGCATTCTGTATACAGAACAGTATATGCTTTTCCAGGATGAATTCAGTGGTTGGGGGGTGGGAGGGGCAAAACCCTTCTTCTCATGACCTCGGGTCCTTTGTCTTGGTTTATAGTAAAGTTACTTGGAAAGGAGTGGACACAGAGGATGAGGATAGCTGATGTCTGAGCTGGAGAAACAATTTTGTGGGGAGGGCACCTCCACATTGACTAAAAAGGGAGTGGAAGTGGATTTTTTTTCAGGCTGTGTTAGAAGAATGTGGTAGAGACGGCAAACAGTTCTGAGTCCCAGAGAGGCTTGCTTGGGAGGTAAGTTTGACTTTAGAGTATCAGCTTTAAACTTGTTATGGAGGCTGAGATGATGTCGATAGAGGACTGCTAACATCGTGGCAAGTGTTTGTATGGTCGAGGGATGCTTGATGCTGCCACGTTTTGGACTACTGTGAAGCCTTGTCCTCGTGTGGAAACCCTGTGAAACAGTAAACGCTGTTGCTCGATGGCAGCGTGTTACTCCACTTCCAGCAAGCATTTGTTTTCTCAGTTTTTTATTTCAGCAATCCAGTAAAATGAAATGGGTACTTCGCTTAATGTTATGGCTGGATGCTTAAAGCAGGCAGATAACATATACCTAGAAGTGCATTTGTTAAATTATTTTGTGAACAGCAGAACTATGAAGACTGATTTCCCATGGCGTTGTATTGTCTGGCCGTACCAGAGTTCCCTCAACTTCATCCTTTCTTCTGGCATTTCCTACCCGTGCTCATACCATAGCATCTTCAGTCTTGCCTCCATCCATCCCCTCTGTGTTCTCAAGTCACGTGCTGTGCGAGCAGTTAATAGGTTTGTCGTTGCTACGAACATGCTGGACAAGCCAAATTCAGTATCTCAGTTCCTGGGGGACCAAATAAATGGACATGACTTGCTGTGGCCAGTCCACATAATCACAACTGCCTGCTGGAATCTAGTAACTTTTGAAATTTATTTCTGTCAAATATGATCAAAATTATCTACTGGTTTCCAAAGCTTTGGTGCAGGTGGGTGGAGAGGAGACTGATGAGCTGCCCTGTGTGGTTACTAAGGAAATCAGGGTGGGAGAATGAAGCTAAGCCCCCTGTACCTGCAGCTCAGGCATGATTCAAATCCGCAGTTTTCAGGCTAAAAGCAATGCTTCTCCCAGATAGGAAAATCTGCTTATTTACAGTCAGATGAGGTATCCCAGTTTTCTCTTAATGCAACCTTTTCTTTCCTTTATCATAGAATCATAGAATCGTTTAGGTTGGAAAAGACCTTTAAGATCACCAAGTCCAACTGTTAACCCAGCACTGCCAAGTCCACCGCTAAACCAGGTCCCTGAGATCTACACGCCTTTTAAATACCTCCAGGGATGGGGACTCAACCACTGCCCTGGGCAGCCTGGTCCAGTGCCTGACTGCCCTTTTGGTGAAGAAGTTTTTCCTAATATCCAACCTAAACCTCCCCTGGCGCAGCTTGAGGCCGTTTCCTCTCATCCTATCGCTTGTTACTAGGGAGAAGAGACCGACCCCCACCTTGCTACAGCCTCCTGTCAGGCAGTTGTAGAGAGCGATAAGGTCTCCCCTCAGCCTCCTCTTCTCCAGACTAAACAGCCCCAGCTCCCTCAGCCGCTCCTCACCAGACTTGTGCTCTAGACCCTTCACCAGCTTCATTGTCCTTCTCTGGACACACAAATTATCTTGGGTAATGTCTGTTTTTGTATTCTGAAATAAACTTTTCATTATACTGCAGAGGCCAGAATTCAGGCTAGGGAACCTTTGAG